CGTTGCACTATAGGTGAAATTTGAGATGAAAATAAGTTATAGCTTTGTGATTTACTACGTTAAAAGTTTTCTTTCACAAAAAATGTCTAAAACTATATCTATTTTACTGGAATATTTAAAATCCTTTAATTCCCATTGGAAATATACAAATTTAAAGTCTGAAATTCCACAACTCCATGATATTCACGAATTTATGTAATTCCAATATACCATAATATTCCAAGATTTATTGATTCCATGTAATTCCGTGATATTTCCATGATTCCCTGATGAATACAAATGGTTCATTTGGGATGAATTCCCCATGAAGCATACATGAACTTCTTATATATTACTATTTCGTACCTATATACATTATAAAGAGAATAGAGTTGAAACCCAGCTGGTAATAGCATTTAACTTGATCTTATCTGATGGCTGTCCCACATAATCCTTTCCATTCTCTATTCTCGAGGAACTCTTTTCACCTCCTCGACTTCCTTATCCGCCTTTCAGATCTCCCATGTCCCATTTTCTAGCATTTCCGATCCCACGATCCCATATATACACACACAGAGACACACACCTCCCTCTCACTTGGCCAAAAACGGAAATATTGCCAATACTTTTGTCGGTAAAGAGCTCATGGAATTCTTTTAACCCATTTTGCTTGTATTTGGTTTCCCAGCTTTCCTTCCACGCCACACCCCCCCGCCCCCAGGCATTTATTTCTTGTTGTCTTTCTTTTCTAAACTGATCGTTTTATAATTTTCGTTTGTAATTTCCGTTGAAACCGGTTCGAGATCGTTCGCATACCTTTACCTCCGATTTTAAAACTACCTGTGTGCCTGACTTGATTTCCAGCGAGCGAGGGAGCAAAAGAATGAGTGAGCGAGGTGACTGAATGTGCTCTCCTCTTCTCCTCATTGGATTCTTCCCTTCTCCTCACAAGATTCTTCTCTGCCGCGCCTCCTGTGCCGTGTTGAGATTTAGAAAATATTCTTTATACTCTTCTTATTGCGTGCGTGAGACGACGTTCGGCCAGCGAGCCTCCAACATTGCCCCTACTCTGAGTCTTTTGTGATTCAAGTTTTTCACTGAAAGAAATGTAATAAAATAATAACAAGATGCCAATTCCATGATATTTCCATGATTCCATAATGACTGGAAAATGTTCATTTGGAATGAATGAACTGTGGCTTTTAAACGTGCTTCAGCGGGAAAAGAATAGCTTCCACATTCTACAATTTTTTATTTAATTATATTATCCAAACTATTTTAACAGTTGAAAAAGATTTCCTGTTAAGCGAAACAAGCCTTTTCCTTTAGCAAAATCTTGTTCTACTTCCTTAACAAGTCAAGATACATTTATTTGGATTATTTAACATTATAAATATTGAAATATGTTTTATTAATATGTCTTAATTTCTCTCTGTGATTCTCCCCCCCCCACACACATTTTCTGCTTCTTCCTGGGCTGCTGCCCTGCCTTCCTTATTGTTGTTTTTGTGGCTGGGGCCTGATGAGCATTCATTTGTCATTTTACTACGTGCCACCGACTCCAACTTTTAGCCGAATGTTTATTTATTTTCTGTTATTATTGTTGTTGTTGCTATTGCTGCTGGTGCTGCGGAACATGTGTGCACTAGAATATATGATTTTATTTTAGTGAAAACTCAACCATGTGTTGTTGTGGCAACCAAAATAACACGTAGGATCGTTTTTGTGTGAGTATATGTCTGCATTGTGGTGGGGGCATCAGCATTTTACCTCTGGTCTCTGGTCTCTTCGAAAAACAAATAGATCGAATCCAGAGATCATACCGACCCCCTCTAAGCCACCATGTACATGTACAATAAAATATTCAAGGCGATTATTATCTTCCTCATCATCATCATCATTGGTGGCCCCTCTTCCTTCCCCACCAAAGCCCAAAAAATATTTGATATTCTCTTGCCAGCGATCACTTGTTGAAAAGCGCTTCCCGGAGAATGAGGAAGTTTCTTTCGGGGAGAGCGAAGACCAGACCAGACCAGACAGACCGACCCGCCAAGACTCGCGGCAAGATGTGGGATAAATTTGAACATGTGTGCGCACGGGTTGGGATCTGGGCACGGGACGGGCACGGGACTGGGCAGGGAAATCGTCTGGTCGTAGCTATGGGGAAAGTATACAGCACGGGTCAAGGAAGAGTATATTATGGTGGGTTTATATCCGGGGTTTTTTTAATTATTTTAAAAATTAATGTTTGTACGGAAATAATGTACTTTTTTGACACAGTCTCTTGATTAGTCTTTAGTTTTAGTTCATAGAAATTAATTGAGCAATTATTAAATAAAATCTTTATAAGATAGATAATATAGATTTGTAGATCATAGCTGCACTGGTCTTATAAAATCTTGAAAATTCCTTAATTTATATAAAATATATTGTATAAAGACACCTTATGCCTTGGCTGTAAACCAGTGCCTATCGTTTGGCGGGTGATCCTCCTCATCCTCATCCCCATCTCTATCCCCATTCCCATCCCCATCCTCTTCATCCATCTTTTCACCGACTGCGACTGCGACTCGCTGCTCTCTTTACCCACTGGCGGATTTATTAGTTGCCCCATCAAAGCAACAGCAGCAGGCAACGTCTTTCTCCTTCAACACGCTGACTCCCAGCTCCCGTCGCAGCTCTTGGTCTGGAAACGGGTTTTCAGCTTGGAATGTGCACTTCCGTTTGCTGCAGCCAGATACGAGTACGGGTATGGGTATGGGTTTGGGACTGGGTATGGGTATGGGTGGGCACGAGAGTGGGCAATGGGCACGGCGCGGCGGCTGCTGCTTTCGAGTTTCGAGAGACGTTCGACTTGGTCCAACCCGGTGCCCCTCCGCATCTCTCTCTGATCTTCATGTGGCTTGCTGGTGCCACAATACATTCGCTTATGTCGAAATCTTTACAGCAAATGATCACCATCGTCGTCGTCCGGTGTTAGTATGTGTGTGTATACTTCGCCTTTGGATTGTGAGTGTGCCTTGGGTTTGTACACATCCGGAATGGCAGTGTACCGCCGCCGCCCATGCACACCAATACCAAACACTGGGCACACACGCCCGAGGGATCACACATTTTTTTTGGTGGAAATTACCATATTGAGAAATTTACAATTAAAAAGCTCTTATACGACAAGTCTTGGACGGATTAGTAAATGCACTAGGAGTTTGTTTTAATTTTTTATTATTTTCTCATACAAAATTGAGGTTTGATCTTATATATTTAATATTTTCGGCTTATCTAATTTAAAAAATTAGGCTCTTATCAGTACAAATTTCCTATTATTTGGTTTAAAGTGTCACCGAATTCTGACTTGGGAATTTTAAGTGCATTCTTTTGAATAATTGGGTTTTAAACAAAATAATCCAACATGTTTGTTCCATCTTCTCTATACAAACAAATGAAACCAGGTTTTTGAATTTCTCTTGTAGCGCACTCACTTGTTCGTGGTGGTTGAACCTTCTTTTTTATTTTGGACAGATCTTTTCCCTGCTCTTCCTGCTCTCCTTCCTTCCCTCCATCATCTCTGCCTGCGCCTCGGTCGCTGCGGGGGTGTGTTGCTGCTGCTGCTGCTGCTGGCTGAGGCTGTCGGAGATCAGAAGATGCCCAGCCGAGAGAGACAGAGAGAGAGTGCCTGATCCTCTGCTGCTGCTGCTTCTGCTGCTTCCTCCTCTGCCTCTGCCTCTGCCTCGTCTCAGCCTCTGCCCTCAGCCGAGTGAGTCACGCTCTCTGCGAGATCGAGATCCGCCAGTTTGCGCCAAGTAGTGATCGGATGCGTTTGCCCGCTACATCACACACTCACTACACTCACTCTCACACACACGGCTCGTTCGGCTCTGTTGTTGTTTTTATTCTTGCGTCGGCATCGGAGATATATTATTTGTTTATTCCTATTCCGATCCATCGGATCGGCTGCCCGCGACGATTATGAGGAAATCTGATTTGGTTGGAATGCGAATGCCTGTCTGAGAGACATCGTCGTCGTCGTCGCCGCCTCTCCCGCTTGCTCTCACGGATCTGGATCGTGCGGTATGTGTGTGTGTGTGTATGGCGTCTGGGAGTGAGCTTCTTCATCTCGCCTCCAATCCCCCAGAGAGGAGGAGCAGCAGCAGCTAGGTGATGTGTCCGCTCAAATATTTCTCTGGCGGAAGTGTGTCGAGTGATCAACAACAACCAATTCCATTGGCACATCCTTTTCCCTCAGCAGTAGTGAACTTTGATCCGTAGCAAGAGCAAGAAGAGATCCAGTGGTGGTGGCACTCATGCCCAGAATTTTGTGGTACTTTTCCATATGTGATTTACCAAGAATTTTAAATAAACAAAAAAGAAACTTGCAGATGAAAATGAGTCAAGTGGATAATGGTGTGTGTATGTGGATAATGTGTGTTTGAGAACTATGTGTGGTTAATAAAAGGATAAATCATAGTAAGAGGAAGGCTTCTGTGTCAGAAAGAGCATAAAAGGATATTCTTAAATGATTAAATTTTATTATGTGGAAAACTATATTTTATGGATAAATGCTTCTATATGTGACGCTTAATCCTAAATAATCCCATTTAAAAAGCTAACAAAATCACATTTCTAAGTTTATAAAAAAGTATTGAAACATATTGCGACGTTTCCAAATAAAATTAGTAATGAAAGTGATCTTTTACAAGAGTTTCTTGAATTTCTTAAATAATAATTTATTACTTCGGGCCGAAAATAACCTTTTGATAACTAAACACCAAAGTGTATACATGTTATTAGAGATCATGCATAGTATAGCAATATTTATAGGTCAAGTATCTAATAAACTTCATGTTTTATTACATTTATTTAAAGAATCACATTCTCTAAGTCTTGTTTTCATAAATGTAAATTAAATTTTAGAACTCAGAGATAGTTCCCTTACTTAAGAACTGATCTTAATTGCCTCGGTTAAATATTTCCCTATTAAATACTCCCAACTAACTTGCCTTCTATTTCGTATTTATTCACAGATAACCCCCCGTTGAAGGCAACTCTAGTGGCTACCACTAATCAGATCCGTTGACCAGGAGGACACTTCCTTAAACACTGTGGCTGCATGTCCAAAATGAAAATGCTCCCAGTACAGTTATCGTTGAATTCGCTGAATCCCGGCATCTGGAGCGATGTGCTCTGGCGCTGCCCCCCGGCGCCGTCCAGTCAGCTCGCCGAGCTGAAGACACAGCTACCCCCATCCCTGCCCTCCGATCCGCGCCTCTGGAGCCGCGAGGATGTGCTCGTCTTCCTTCGCTTCTGCGTCCGTGAATTCGATCTGCCCAAGCTCGATTTTGATCTCTTCCAGATGAACGGCAAGGCGTTTGCCTGCTGACGCGTGCAGACTTTGGCCACAGGTGTCCGGGTGCCGGAGATGTGTTGCACAATGTGCTGCAAATGCTAATCATTGAGTCGCACATGATGCAATGGCATCTGCCCAACAGTCCAGTGACGCCCACCAGCAGATATCCCCTGTCGCCGCATAGCCACCCGCCGACGCCCACGTGGCCACCGCTGAATGCTCCGCCAGAGAGCAGTCCCTTCCACAGTACCCCCATGGCCTGGCGGGTCATCATTTCATGGCACCGAACTCTGTGACGCTCAGTCCGCCGCCATCAGTGGATTCCCAGGCGAGTAGTCCGCCCCAGGCTCCCTACCAAAACGGAGGAGGAGGAGGAGGAGTAGCACCTGGTGCGGGGAGCCACAGCCACCTCGGCAGGCACGACCAACAGCAGCGGCAGCAGCAATCCCACATCCTCTAGTGCCAGCAGCACCGGAAGCAATGGCTCCCAGCCAGCATCATGCCCATGAAGGGATCAGCAGTGCCAGCAGTAATCACTCCGATTCCGAGGAGGAGTATTAGAGCGAAGCTGCCACCAGCACCGCTCTACAGCACGGCCAGTCCGCCGAGCACACCCATTCTGAAAGACATCAAGCCCAACTGGACGCAGCAGCTGACGAATAGCTTCGTCAACTCCTGGTCCCAGCAGCAGCAGCAGCAACAACAGCAGGCTCAGCAGCAGCAACAGCAGGCTGCCGCCGTGGCAGCAGCAGCAGCGGCAGCCCAGGCGCAGCAGCAGCAGCAGCAACAACAGATGCAACAGCAGCAACAGCAACTGCCGCAGAAGCTGACCCTGGATAATACTGCCGGTCCCGTGTTGGCACCTGCCGGTGGATCCATATCAGCACCGACCACGCCCAGTTATATGTACAAAGCCAAGAGGGAGTTCTTTCCCGAGAACTCGGAGCCCAATACAAGTGAGTTTATAGGATATACAATATTCACAGAACTTTTAATAACTAATCTTGTTTTTATTTTCTCTAGATGGTCGCCTGTTGTGGGACTTTTTGCAACAACTGCTGAATGATCGCAACCAAAGTACAGCGATCTGATAGCCTGGAAATGCCGCGATACGGGCGTGTTTAAGATCGTCGATCCCGCTGGATTGGCCAAGTTGTGGGGCATTCAGAAGAACCATCTGTCGATGAACTATGACAAGATGTCGCGTGCCCTCCGCTATTATTACAGGGTCAACATATTGCGCAAAGTGCAGGGCGAGCGACATTGCTATCAGTTCCTGCGCAATCCCACGGAGCTGAAGAACATTAAGAATATATCCTTGCTGAGGCAATCGACGCCATCGACTGGTGGCGGTTCTTCTTCGATGCCGCAGGCTCCTGGAAGTCCTGCTGCCGCCCAGAACTGGAATTCCCAGCAACAGCAGCAGCAGCAGCAATCCCAGCAGCAACAGCAACAATCACCCCAGCGTCCCGCCTCGCGTAACGGTCCAATGAGCCTGCCTGCCGTGGCAGCAGTGGCAGCCGCTGCTGCCGCAGCCTATGGTCCACCGCCCACATCGCCCCTCTTTATGCATGCGATCAATGGAGCCTTCCACTACCTTTCGGCGGCGGCAGCTGGTCCGCCACCCAATTCCCCTGCCTTGAACACACCGTCAGCGATTGGTGGACCCGATAAATTCCAGTTCCATCCCCTGAAACTGGAGAGCAACGGTTCGGGATCGGGTTCGGAAAGCGCTGGCGAGGACCTGAAGCCCACGGATCTGAGCGTGAGCAGCAAGAACAATAATTCCGCCAGCAACGAGGACTGCTATCCGTAAGTACAAGGAATCTTTCCCAAAACAGATCATTTTCCATTTGCTAAACTCTCGCCAACTTGCAGACTCATCCGTAATGCTGACGGTCTGACCACCATTAAGCTGATACGCCACAACAACGATCACCAGGGAGGTGCACCCTCACCAGGGGAGCGGTCACCCAAGCCGGATGACCAACAGTCCGCCAGCGTCGCCATCACCTCCAATGCCAGCTCACCCAGGCCGATGGATCAGGCCAGCAGTGAACAGGCTCAGCCGGTGCCCATGGATAGTGATTGCAATGGCGGGGAATCGGAGGATTCCTTCCGCCACATGCGGCAGTAGGAGGAAGCCTAGCAGCAGCAATATCCTGTGACAATCCACACATCCAACTTCTTCCTCCATCCCTCCTTCCTCTAAACACAACATTACCTGAGCTAAACAAAAAAAAAAGAAGAAATTATGGGACCAGCACAACAAGGCGCACATACATCTAAAGAGGGAGACGCATCTGCTGGACATAGATCTGGATGGCTTTTCGTTTCAGAATGGATTCTTGTCGGAGGTAATTCTTGGAGACTTTTAGGATGTAATTAAATCATTTACAAGAGTTGGAAATAGATGAAGATCTTTGTTATAAATTTCTTTAAAGAAATTCCGATTCATAAGAGTCCAATGATTACTTCTGGCAAGTCTCTTGCCAAATCTTCTGTACATAGAAAACACACATGCATACATAACATATATATATATATATATTTTATACATCAAGCAAATAATATTTATTAAGCTAAGCTAAGCTAAGGAAGCAGAGTGAATGTAAGTAGATATCTTGAGCCGGCGCAGCGCAGCCTTCGATATATGTGCCAATTTCTACATTTATCAAAAAACAAAAAAAGAAAACAAAACATAGGGAAAAACAAACCCCAAAAACACACACATCAATCATACGAGAGTAGTGAGTAGAGAGTAAATTAATTAATAAATAAATTAGCAAATAGCATATGTAGAGCGTAAGTGTTGCCACCTTTGAGCTTTACAAATGTTGCCTCAACAAAATGGTTTCAGATTATTGAAAACAAAAAAACAATTGTTAAAATACGAAAAATACGTGAAAATGAAGGAGAGAAATATGAAATTTTGAATTGTTGGCGTAATTTGTTAATATAAATATACAAAACAAATCAGCTTAGAAAGAAGAATGGCAAATTAATTAATTTCTTGTGATAACAACAACAGAATTATCTTTGATTCACACACATTGGCATATGTGGTCCCAAAAAGAAAGAGCAGTTCCCTAACGAAACTGATACAGTTTCGTTTTATTAATTGTTATAAAAACAAAAACAAAGGATAATAATTATAACTGCTCGTTGTTTCATTTTGCGGGATCAGCCTGAAAAGAGAGCTTTCAAAATTCAATTTCAATTGAGACCCTTAGCCCTAGAAGTACACTGCAACAAGAGAACACACACACACACATTATAAACATTATATACATATACATATATATATATATATATATAATAAAAAAGAAAACATTGGCTTCCATTTTTATAGAAAGCATACATATATGTATACACATTAGTTTTCTATTATTATTATTATCATTATGATTACTATTATTATATTATTTGTAATGTTAGTTTACGCAACAAATGAATGGTGTTCATTTTTATAAACATTAATCATGCCAATCACCCCCTCATCCACTTGATACAATAGAAAATGTACATTTCAAGCACTTTAATTAATCATATTAAACAGAATTGATGTGAGTTTCGAAGAGGAGAGACATCATCATCCAATTGCACGTTCATACATTTAGCCCATAGTTGAGCAAATCTGTAATTATTAAATTAATGTGTAGGATCTACGTTAAAAAATAATTTTCTATTTGTTTTTCGTACGCCTTAAGTTTAAACACACACCGCCAATAGCTAATAATTAGCACTCTAGTGTCGCCACAATACCTGTTCTTCCATTTGAAAACTTTATCTTTTGATCAATATACATAATTTATATATGTATAAAAAAAAAACAAAGGAAACCAATTTATATGCAATAAATAAATTGAAAACTGAACATTTTGAGATCTTATTTTGGTATAAGCATACGTCAGAGGGAAATCCCTTGACTGTAAAGAGTAAATTAATTGTTACGAAACCCACATTATTTCCATAAACCATATCTACGTAACATTTTATAAATTAAAAACATTGAAAATACTTATATAATTGCTTTTATTTTTTGTTACAATTTCATGTGGTTTTTTTTTAATCAGAAATTATTCTAAACTACAAGTTTTTGATATGAGGAAAGCAGTGTTATTATTTGAAAAAGATTTCTAAAATCTATGATTAGAATGTTTGTGGTTTAAATTCAAGATTTCTTAGATAATTGTTGAAAAGTCATCACTTATTAGATAAGCTCCTGATTGTCCAAGAACTCACGAATCATATTTCTGCAGGATTTGAGCAAGGACTTATTGCAGCCGCGAGTTTGGTTGCTTCCGGGAACAGGAGTCCTTGCCTTCGCCTTCACTATGGAGTTGTTACTGGTCACCGAGGACAAGATTTGGCTGGCGTCAAGGATCGTCGCAGGAGATGCGGTGGTATGGATCGTTTCTTCAAAGGCTGAGTGGGAGCGACAGGCGGACGAACTGTCTGATCCTTGGGTGTCGTATTGTCAGCGATCACAGGCGGCGGTGTTGGTGATCGGGTCGTTGCCGTGTATGAAATAATATTATTACAGATCTGACGATCGTATTGATAGCGGAGCAAGAGGAGAGCGGATGCAGCCTCCAGCTCTAGGGCACTATGAGCGGTGGTATCTATGATGACTTCGTTTTCCTTTATGGTACCCTTCACTGGCGAAGGACTAGTCGCTAGCTTGCGTTTGTTCAACATGCGGTACTTCATGATAGCTGGATGAGTGTCGAAAAGGAACTGATGTCCTGCTAACTTGGACAGCAGGTTTATATACAAATATCAGACATCTCTACCTGTTTAGTGTTCTACCTACCAATTGGTGGCTAATCCAAGTTTTACCCTAATAAGTATCCTTCGGGGATAGCGCAGGTAATATTAGCACTAGGATTTTATAGATTCGCGTTTACTGCCTACGAATTGGTCGCTAATCCGCGTTACCCTAATAAGCCAGGTGCAAATGTTTGTCAGCTTGACATCTGCTTGCTTTGTTACAGATATGTGCCTTTTATAGATCTAGGACTTTACGACGAGATTCTTTCCGCAGCGGGAAATATCCTAGAGCCATTGTAAATGTATTACCTCTAGGTCCAGGTTATATCTTCAAGCGGAGGATCACTTTTACATTCAGCAATAGCTAATTGTTAATATATATATATTTAAAATAAGCTGGGGTATCCTAATGCTTTATTGGTATTAAAACTGAAGAACATAACACTTAAATCCTATTTAAATAATGAATGCTTTGTTATCAAATAAGGGATCCTTTTCTTTTACATTTTAAATGCAATGATTTCAATCATTTCCATTTCTTATATGTAGTCGTGCTTTTATTAGGGAAATTATAAGCGAAAAATCAACAGATGCCCGGTGGGCATTTACTAATTTTACATATTTACATAATCTTAGTATGACTATTCTTTCCAAAGATGTCATTGTGTATTAACTGCTTTAAATATATCTGCTGAACTATATTCTTTGTTTTAAACAAAAGGAACAGTTGAAGATTTGAAATTGTAATTCTTGAAACACCCGACGAAAACATAAATACAAACCCCAGGATTATAGTTATGATAAAAAAGAAATAATAAAAAGGAAACACTGATTGAAAGGGAGCAGCAGCGGAGTGTATGAAAAATACAAAACTGAAACGCACATTAATTTCAAAGCATATTCGTTAACTTTGCCAGTTTAGGAAATTCGTGGATTTGTTTTTACGAAGACGTTGCCGTTCGTATTACATACATATCCGTACAGTTGATGGCATTCGAATATAGTTGCGTGAGGCTAACTTTTATTCCAGGATGCAAAGCTCTTCTCTTCTCCTTGGTCCCTTTATCTGGGACTCTTGGCTTTCTACGTATGAATCTCGAACAGCTTGGCCACCTCATTGAGGTCATCATACTTCTTATTCTGATTAATTATTGTTCTAGCTAAGCCTATCCGGTTGAAGAGGTTCCAGAGCAGGACCCCACGATCTTATCGTCCTTCATGTAGAACACCACACCTTTGCCGTAGTTCGTCGTCTTATCCGAATCAGAGGTACCGCCATCTGTGGTAACGACTTCAACATCCTTTTGTCCCTTGGAATCGCCACCTCCTTGGGCTCTGGCTTATTGTCTACGGATTCGGCGGCATCCGAGGCCAAAGCAAAGACTCCCACAGTGGGCAGCGAAGAATCCACGAGACCGATGCCTTCATAGCCGATCTCAGGACCCAGATCCGACCAGAACATGCTCTGATGCTGATATGGCTTCTCTGTAAGTGAATGTAATTCGTAAAGAAAAGGTTCGCAAATCGAGTAGAAAAGTTACTCACTTGCTCCCGTCATGTTCTCTCCAGCTAGCCGTCCGACACAACGGAGTGATCGTGGTGCTCAACCCGCCGCCTACCCAACAGTGGATCGTAGAAGCAGGAGGCGTCACCAGCCACGTAGAGGTTGCGCCTGGCTTCCAACTCAGCATTAACCACGAAACCACCCAGGGTCCCGTCCACTTCCAGCCTGCTCGGACCGGCGAACTCGGTATTGGGTGAGCAACCAACACAGACTACCACCACATCGGACAACAGGGTCTGGCCATTGTTTAGTTCCAGCTTCAAATTGGATGCCTCTCTGGTCGCCTTCCTAATGCTGGCATTGGGAATAACGCAGACGCCCTGCGTTTCCATCTTGGTCTTTGTGTACTGGCTGAGGTAGTCTGGCAGGACCCGCGACATATTTGAGTCCTCCTGGAACACCTGGTACACTTTGCTGCCACCATTCTCCTTGGAATAATGAGCCAGAGAGCAGGCCAGCTCACTTCCGATGAAGCCGTTGCCCACGATCGTTATCGATCGCTTCTGTGACGCCAGTTTCCGGAGGCGGTCAAAGTCGTCGGGAGTGCGATACACCATTACCTTTTCGCGAATACTGGGGGGCGCGTCCTGGAAAACGGCGAGATTCTTTGGCGCACAGCCAGTGGCAATTAGACACGAGTCGTACTCGATCTCATAGCCGTCTTCCAGCGTCACAATTCGCTTTTGAGCGTCCACCTTCTTAACGGTGAAACCCTGAGCGACGGCTATGCCACCATTTACGCTCTCTTCCAGCTTTCAGGATCCACAAAAACTCATCAGGTTCGAAGAACAAGCTGCAATGGAACATGTAAAATGTTTATTAAAATCAAAGATCAAGACAGGGTTCAATTGAAACGTACCTTCGCTCAGAGCCAGTCCACTGCTTAAAGCGGTATTCCTTGATGGTTTCTTCACTTGGATTAGGCGTGTACCAAAGCTCCTTGGAAAGAGGCGGACGCATATAGGGCTTGCGGAACTCATTGCTGATCATCAGGACCTTGGCCTTCGCATCGTTGGACTTGATGGCTCGGAATGCCGAGAAGGCAGCAGTGCCGCCGCCGACAATAAGGTATGGAACGTGCTTTGGCAGATCCTTGGAACTGGGAGGACCTATAACAACGCGTAATGAAGTTAATAGATAGTTCAAAGATTAAAACACATACTATGAGAATGAGGGAACACCTATGATTATGGATAAGGCGAATAGATAAAGCTAATCTTTGAGTGACTGCCAAAATATTTATATCGTAATCAGCAGATATCTTGGTTAACTCAGCAAAATATCTATTTCACCATTCCCTTGCGAAAAAGTTTACTTTAAATGTTTATATTTAATTTATGAATATCTTACTTGTTGGTGGAGTTGCTAACAGCTTCCTCTTCCGTTGCTCTTCATCTGAAGCGTTCTTTGAGTCTCCGTCGTCTGTTTTCTGCGTCAAGTACCAGGTGAGCTAGGAATTTTAAGTGTATTTAGCCAGATTCTTTTTAAAAACAAGACAAAAATTACCAATCCTCCAGCTATCAACGCCGCTAGAGCACCCAGCACCTTCAAGCGAGGATCATTCTTTTGATCACCGCTACCGCTATCTTTGCGTGTTCTCATAACTCTTCCCCGGGACTCTCGGGTTTGTGGGAGCTGGACTGTGAATACGCACTTTCCGAGGATTTGAGGACATCCTTGGCGCTGCATAAGCTCTTGTGATCCTGGAATTCAGATGCAAATTACTATCTCGTTCTTAGAGGTAATGCAACAGAGGCGTGATGAAATGAGCGATGTAAAAGAGACTCTGACTGTGGATGGGCTTTATACTGGGATGCCCGCTGGTGATGGTGCTAAGCCCTTCGAGTGTGCGTTTCTTTACCTTTTGATAGAGGCTGCTGTGCGACGACCGGAGGGCGGCTGAAATACGAAGCAGAGAAGGAAAAGGCAACGCCGGATGAGTCGGAAAAACATGAGAGACATAACCTCACAACTCACCGTACACCGGCGGCGCCGGTCCCAGTATCCTGTTGTTGGCCAAGATGTACGCCTGGCGAACGAACTTGCGCGTCAGGCAGCGTCCGCTCCACACTCCACTCATAGCGATTCTCCGGATTTCGTTAGTGTCAGAGCAAATTAACGCACAATTGTGTAACAATGTGTGGCGGAGGTAAAGTGTGTGTGTTCGCGAGTCTGTGTTGTGTTTATAAAAAAAAGCAATTTCCTTGACAAATATCTCCGTGTTAAATGCACAGGGCTTTAATTGAACTTTCTTCAGTTTCTCCACTTCCTTTCTCCTTTCCTTTTATTTTGCATTCCTTTGCTGCCTTCCCGTCATGTTGTATTTTCTGTCCCTGTCTGTTAAGTGTGGCCGTTTCAATGTTTTTGGGAAAATTCCAAATCCAAGAAGAGCTTGCGATAGTATCGCAAGCCATTTTGGCGCCGCGGTTCACAAGAATTCAATTATAAGCTTAAAATTGAAAATGTTTACATTTTTAAATCAAATTTGGAATCTATTTTATTAACTATATTTTCCTTATCAAAGTTTAGATTTCTAAATTAACATATTAAGCTAGATTGTGCCTAAAACGTCTCATTTAGTGTATTCAAAAACTTCAAGGATATAAGTATACACATACATATGTCAAATTTTACCTGGAAAAATTTGTCATTGAAATTAGTTTTTCTTTTTTTTGTAAACAAAACACAATATAACGCACACAGACAAGTTGTTAAACAATTAAGGATTCATTTCTTCTGGGACCGTCGGAGCACTCACATTATGAGTATCATGAGTATATGGAGCGTACAATGCCTGACGCGTAAGTTCATTCGCCATGCGTATATCTTGGCCAACAGAAGGGTAATAGGACCTCCGCCAATACAGCCGCCGCCTGCCTACGGTTAGTATTTAAGCTTATAACATTAAAAGTCCTTTAAGCCCTTTTTAATTGGCTTGTCTTGTGGTTCTTTTTCAATTTAAGCCGCTTTACGGTCATCGCACAGCAGTCTCTATCAAATGGTTAAGAAACGCACCTTCGAGGCGCGCACCAAATTGCAAGCCAAAAAATATCCGAACCAACATGTCTGCATTCCCAAGACCCCCTTCGAGTACGAAGCGGAAACGGAAGCGGATGTGGATGAGGATATCGAGACTAAATCCAACATTAGTGCCCCCGGCTTTCCGACCGTCAATTTTCAAGCCCCGCAGCCGTTAGAGCAGTCCTTCGTAAAAGTAATTATTCAAGAATTCGATTAGAAAGATTTATTATTAAGCCTATCGTATTTAAAAGAACCAACGAAACATATATTATTAGCACAACTTACTCACAATAATATCGCCTATTCCTGCCTAAGTTTCTGTCTTTCAGACTAATAACTTATTGGTTTTCAGGGCTATGCGGAATCCAAGCAGGTCAGTGCCAAGGATGCCCTCAAATCTTCGGAATGTCAGGCCAGTGACTCCGAACTCGTACTCGATTCCTGTAAACCCAAAGATCCCTGCGAGGAGTTCAAGCGCAAAAGACAGGAGACACGGTGCCCACCCTCCAGTGGGGATTTAACTGGTGGCGGTGGTTCGGGTGACGGTGACGGCCAAGACTGTGGTGATGTCGAGTGCCGGCTAAAGGATCTTCGTCTGAAGTGTCTGCTGGGAGCGCTGGCGGCTCTGATAGCTGGAGGACTGGTAGGCTTATTTCTTAGTTTCAAAAGAAATCCCACTGAATGCAGAATAATGCCCACAGCTATCGTGGTTCTTGACGCGTACACCAGACGATAGTGAAGCCAAAAAGGCAGCTGCAGAAGAGGAGCTGCGGAAGCGACGACTTTTAGCTGGTCTAGTCACAAGTAAGTAAAAAATATATAAGAAAGATAAGGATGTTATTTAACCTCTCCACTAAATTTCTTATATTACAATTTTCTTCTACAGGTCCTGCCAGTTCTGAGGACCTCCCAAACCACGTTCAATACCTGATCGTCGGCGGTGGCACGGCTGCCTTCTCTGCGTGTCGAGCCATCAAGTCTAATGATTCTTCTGCCAAGGTCCTGATGATCAGCAATGAAGCCCGCAAACCTTACATGCGTCCGCCACTTTCCAAGGAACTCTGGTACACCCCTAACCCGAACGATGATCCCATCAAGGATTACCGCTTCCAGCAATGGACTGGCTCCGAAAGAAGGTGTGTTTTATTAGTATCCTCTGATGGTGTTATTAAATAATTTACATTTTTCCCCTCAGCTTGTTCTTTGAACCGGAAGGGTATTTCGTGGATCCCGAGGACTTGGATGACAGTGCAGGTGGCGTAGCTATCGCTCAGGGCTTCTCGGTTAAGAAGGTTGATGCTCGGGAGCGAAAAGTGACGTTGAATGATGGTTATCAGATCGAGTACGGCTCGTGTCTGATTGCTACTGGCTGTGCCCCCAAGAACCTCACTGTTTTCCAGGACGCGCCACCCAGCATTCGCGAAAAGGTAATGGTCTATCGGACTCCCGATGACTTCGACCGCCTTCGCAAACTGGCGTCAGAGAAGCGATCGATAACGATCGTGGGCAACGGTTTCATCGGGAGCGAACTGGCCTGCTCTCTGGCCCATTATTCCAGGGAGAACGGTGGCGGCAAGGTATATCAGGTGTTCGAGGAGAACGGTAATATGTCACGGATCCTGCCAAACTACCTGAGCCGCTGGACTATGGCAAAGATGGAGGCGCAAGGCGTCTGCATCATTCCCAATGCCAGCATCCGGCACGCGACAAGGGATGAATCCAATCTAAAACTGGAGCTGAACAATGGCATGACCCTGATGTCCGATGTGGTGGTAGTTTGTGTTGGTAGCTCACCTAACACGGAGCTCGCCGGTCCGAGCAGGCTGGAAGTGGACAGAAGCCGCGGAGGCTTCGTAGTCAATGCTGAGCTGGAAGCCAGGCGGAATCTTTACGTGGCTGGTGATGCCTCCTGCTTCTATGATCCGTTGTTAGGCAGGCGGCGAGTGGAGCACTACGACCACTCCGTGGTCTCTGGTCGATTGGCTGGGGAGAACATGACGGGAGCAAGTGAGTAACATGTTTACTCAAATTGTGATCTTTCTCTTCATTAGTTAATTTACTTACAGAGAAACCATATCAACATCAGAGCATGTTCTGGTCGGATCTGGGTCCTGAGATCGGCTATGAGGGCGTCGGCCTGGTTGACTCTTCGCTGCCCACCGTGGGAGTCTTTGCTCTGCCCTCGGATGCTGCCGAACGCGTGGACAACCTGGCCGAGCATGAGGAAAGTAGCGATTCCCTGGCTAGAACCGATATGGGAGTTATTACCAAGGATGGCATTACCTGTGATCCCGACGATGCGGCGAATTATGGCAAGGGTGTGGTGTTCTACATGAAGAACGACAAGGTCGTGGGCATCCTGCTCTGGAATCTCTTCAACCGGATAGGCTTAGCCAGGAACATAATAAGTGAGAATAGGAATTATGATAACCTCAACGAGGTGGCCAAGCTGTTCGAGATTAACGCGTAGAAAGAGCAGAGACGGACCAAGGAGAAGAGAATATTGGCATTATCGTGGACTGCAAGTCGGCCCCCCATCGTGATAATTTGTAACTGGATACGAACGGCAACGACGCAATGCAACAGAAATTTTAGTTTTAGTATTTTTGGAATAAACCACTAATGACATTCGCCTCTGCAATACCGAATCACAAATGTCACACCCTTCCAAGGGATTCATCAAGTGCAGCCTAAACCGTATGAGCTTATATCTTCAGCTCCCTAACGTTTCCTATCTGCTAGAAATCAAATCTGAAGATATTATTTTAAATTTGACTTAAGTCTTATCAATTGGGAAACCAGTCTTTTAAACGATCAGATTCAAAAATGAAATAAATGTTATTTTCAAAGATTATGTTAATCTTTATATATATATTTATATATACATATATGTATGGGGTTTAAGTAAGGATCTAGAATTCCGTCGGGCTGAAGTTAGCTCAGTTCTTGTAAATAGCTCTCTCCCTCTCCCTTTCTCTCAATTTGGTATTGGTAAATAGCTCTCTCTCTCTTTCTGCCTTTCTCTTGAGGTATAACTTTCTCGCTATCTCTCACATTCTCTGCTCTCTTTCCTGGGAGAGTATAAATACAGGCACTACCTGCTCGCTGGCCTCAGTCTGTCCGTGGCCTTCTCAGTGTTTACATCTATGGTGATTAGTGGTAGTGATTGCCGTATCATTAATATATTGCCATAAGGTCTATTTTATGGTTATATGGATTCAATAATATTAAATGTAGAGTATTTTAAAAGCACTATCGTGCAATATTTAAACATTGTCGACTTTTCCAAATTATTTATTAAACCGAGACGTTTACCTCTTTGTAATTAAAAATAAACTAAAGGAAATATTTACATATGCTAAAATATCTAAGCAAACCATTTAAATTAGCTATTCGGTACTTCCCTAAGTACGTCATTTAAATTGTCTGCATTATTGCGATTAATAGGCGATTTGACTGCACAAGTTTCTTAGTTTTCTGTTCCTGTTTTTCGAAAAATAACCACTTGGCATTCAAATGATATACATTTGAATAGTTTGAGTTTTGATCGACAGACCTATAACCAAGCCATGAGTATCTACATTTCATTAGTCGCTTACGAACTTTATTGGAGAAGGAACCAACCCATAAGCAGGAAGATGGCTTCCCAGATCCAGTCCAATTGGCATTCTTCAGAAGTCCTTGGCCCACTTTTTTAGTGATGACCGCCTACCTTCTCTTCGTGCTGAAGGTGGGTCCCAAGCTCATGGAGCGTCGACAGCCCTTTGAGCTGCGCGGCGTGATCAAGGCATATAACATTATACAAATCGTGTACAATTCTACATTGTTCATATACGTAAGTGCAGGGGAAGGACTTGTGTAAGGCCATTCATCGATGAGACACATAATTATTACAGGCCTGCTATGTCGCCTATAATTTCTACGACATGAGGTGCCCCGTCAGTCTGCCTTTGGACCATGAGGGTAAGGACCAGAGCGATTTGTCGCCAACGCGTTCTACATCAACAAATACATTGATATGCTGGAAACTGTGTTCTTTGTGCTGCGCAAAAAGAGCAGACAGATATCCTTCCTGCACGTTTTCCACCATTTGGCTGTTGTCCTGGCCTCTTACCTCACCCAGACGCTATATGGCCACGGTGGTCTTGTTGCTTGGATGGTTATACTTAATTTAATCGTACACTCACTCATGTACACTTATTACCTGATGTCCTCCATAAACCCGGAAGTGCAAAAGGCGTCTCTCTGGTGGAAGAAGTACATAACCATGATCCAGCTAATCCAATTCGCCTTTATCATGATCCATATGATCGACATGCTTATGCAGAGCGATTGCAAAGCTCCACGACCTGGGATCTATGGCTTTGGCTTTCTTTACTCGGCCCTGACTGTTATGTTTTCCAAATTCTACTATCAGACGTACATAAATCCCAAAAAAAAGGTTAAGCGGTCCTAATAATCATAAATCTGCCGGATATTCTTTCATTTGAATAATAATACTATAACTATGGAACATGTGATGTTAGAACTGATGTAAGTATCGTCAGTTTAATTGTGCAATAAGAATGTCTTATAAATATTATGTTACGTTAAATTATAAATTTGTTTGTGTGGAATATCACTTATCTGCACTCGCTGCCTGCTGCTGCTGCTGAGCAGCACTCACTGGGGCCTTAATACCCATCAGGTGGCATAATTGATTCCTCAGTGGACGCACTTCCACTAGCGGCATAGTCCAGTCGGTCTCGGAGAGCAGTGTTAGGATCTCATCCATATTATCTTCGGGCACTTCGGTGACATCTCCATGCAGGGCCAGGGCTTCGTATAATTTGGTAGCTGCCGTTTTTCGAACATGCACATGCTGCAGTCCAAGGAATACCGAGAGCTTGGAGAGAATGCGCCGGGACAGACGAGGCACCTGCAGCAGCTGGCAAAAGGCACTAATACTGGTTGCCGTCTTATAGAGCTTCTTATATCCCTTGACTTCCAGGTTGAGCAACCTAAAGATGTCCTCTGCAAAGGGATTTGTTTCGTCATGGAGCACCGATTCCACTGTCCCCGATCCTATGAGTATATCCAGGAAACTGAGCATGGGATAAGTTACACGTTCATTGAGCAGATGCTCCTCGAAGATCTGAACAATCTCAGTACATAAACGCGGCACCATTGCCGGGTTGGAACGCAAAAATTGGAATAGGGCCGTAGAGGCGTATTTGATCTGTAATAAATAAACTTTGAAAAAACTTGAATGTAGCTGGTAACCCTTAACTCACCAGAGATTCAGTCAGTTGTCCAATGCTGGCACTTAGGCCCAGCAGAACTCGTTTGGAGTAATCGGGCAGGGCGAGTAGTTCGCAGAACAAGGGGAATGTGTGATCGGCAAACAGCCAGAGCACGGAATCAGACTCAGCGGGGAATATCTCCAGTAGCTTTGAGTGCTCTCGAATATGCGGAATCTTGGGCTGATGATTAATCAGTTGGCAGCACAGGCGTCCGCCTAAGCCTCGTGTTCGATCAATTTTCTCCACCGCCTGCTGCATGAAGCCAACCACAACCTCGTGGACTTGCTGTGGCGTGAGCAATTGCGGCGGACACTGGGTTACGATTTCGTAGAGCGATGACATGGCCGCCTCCCTTACCCAAGCACCAATATCACCGCGATTATCCAAGGTATACTCGTCCAATGCTTTTAGTAAGCAATTAAGGACTTTGTTGAAGTTGTCACGATCTGAGAATATGGCTTCTCCTTCTCCATAGCCCAAGGTTTTTACCACTTTGGTTAGGGCCTTAACGCTTTCCGTTCGAGCCTCGCTCCATCTGTAGGTTTGGATATTCTCGCGATCTCCCACTTCACCAGCCAGAACCACAGCTTGCAGTGGTGTCAACGAATGCTTTATCAGACTGTCCAACACGGCAGACAAATGCGGATGAACCATGAAGTCAGGCAGCACTCCCAAGGCTGCTAGGTGACCCATACGTATGTGCTCTTCCAGATCATTCTCGGCTCCCCTCAAATAGGCATTTATAATGGTCTCGTTCTCTCGACGTCTCGACTCCAGGCAGTAATATGTGCGACAAAGTTCGGCAAAGGACTCCACAGCCGAGGCGCGAATGGTGGCTGATTTGGTCACCAGACAGGAATCTATGACCTTCTGCCAAGAAGCTGTAAAATATAGGTTTATAAATCCAGAGGAAAAGTCCGATATGGTATCATATAGAAAGTATATAAAAGACTTACCCAAGCACTCGGTCGTCGCCTGCAACTTGGCCAGACTGCAGTTCTTTATAAAGTTGGTTGTGCAGGCCTTCATCAGTTCACCGCTCATGCCGCGATAGAAGTTTCTCTCCAGGAACGTATTAACCAGCTCATTTAGCTCCGCAATCCGCTGATTGGAAAGATAAGCCAATGGAGGATCACTGCTCTCCTCCAGTTGCCGCAATGCCAATGTAATTTCTCCCATGGCCAAAACGCAGCCATGACGGCAATTGATGTCAATGGTATCGGTTTTGGCCAGAAGCTGTGGTAGCACCACTGCTGCCATATATTCCGGTTCCTTCAGGGACAGCTTGTGCAAAGCCTTGGCCGTTAGCTCCCTTATGGCCGGATCCCAATGGTTAACTTTGCGCTGCACCAAATGATTAATTAAGGGCTCTCGGTACACCTCGAACTGGGCAATGTAATCGCTGATGTTTAGGTAGGAATTCTGGCGAATGCCAACGGAATAGAAATCTGTGGTGGTGGAGATCTCGATGCCGAAGGGAAAGTTGCCGAGGCGACCAACGCTCTCCTGGAATGCAGCAGACGCAGCGCGTCGGCAGTTCACCTCACGATCAAAGACAGCAACAGTTAACAGGCCGGACGAAATCTTGTGCACAAAGGGTTTCACATCGTCTGGATTATAAGCCCGTGCAAAGGCCCAGCACATGTAGCAGGCGGAGTCACGGATGTGCTGACCCACCGACATGTAGCCCTTCATTTCGTCGTAGAACAGGGCCTGCATCAGGAGGGGAACAAGCTCCTCCAATCGATGGGGTAGCAGTAGTCCCCTTTTGGCCAATTCCGCCAATGCCAGACAGCCACCGTGCCAGGCCTCATGTGGTTCAAGGGGGCTAAGTATATCGATTACTGAACCAATTACCTCATCAGCCAGCTCTTTGGGCAGACGATTGGTAACTCTGCCCAATCCCTTGGCCGCACTCCAACGAATGTCGTTGCCACCGCTGCGCAGGCCTAGAAGTAACTCCTCTATCACGTCCTCAATGGCATCGGGCACTACGATTTCTTCGCCCTCATCGGCAGATACCTCCATGGCGGCTAATTCATCTCCGCCTCCTGTTGCCTGGTTAAGATTGGTGGCCAGAGATCGTGTGCCTAGAGATAAAATGTTTTACTTTCCAGGGTATTTCTTTGATTCCAGACTCAAAACTCACCCCTTTTGTACCGCCAGCTGGCAATGCGTGGCTTAAGATGAACCAGCCCGATTCTTTGGACTATTTTTACATAGTTCTTGTACTTGAGGAAGTCGCTACTGTCCTTGTACTGACATGAGGTGATCCACTGGAGAAGCTTGTCGGCATACGGCAACAGGTCCTCCCGCTTGCCGTGCTTCAGAATTGCAGCCACAGCCGCCAGTTGGCCGAATTTCACGTTAACCGTGTCTGCCTGATGCTGCTCCATAATCCAGTCGAGGAATCTTTCCAGGTATATGTCTTTTATATCGCTGCGAATGAAATACTTGGCGGCAAGATATGCAGCCATGCTGCTGCAGGTGTCGTTGGTGGACACATAGAGTTGAATCAACTCGTAAATGCGTTCCATCTTACTGGTCTTTGCTTGCTGGACATGATTGCTGAGACTGCAATTTGTTGTCGAACTGGACCCTGTTTCGTAGGCATCCAATCTGGCCATGTGGAAGGGATTGAGCACGAGAATGGACATCCATAGCAGCAGTATGTATCGCGTCTCCCATTCGGCAAACTCCTTGGGATCCTGCTGGCCCAGCAGCTCCAGGACAAACTCCAGGTCACTCAGTTCGTGCGGCATGAACTTCACCAGGACCTTGTAGGTGCGAACCTTGCTAATGATATACAGATACTTGAAGGCGGCATGGAGTTCGCCAGATGGCAGACTCGGCTGCCTAATCTTGCCCAGGAGTTTGCCCAACAACTGCTCCAAATGTGGATCCAATAGATGTGGCTGCTCCTGGTACCGCGACAGAACCTGGGCGTACTGCTCAAACTCCCTTTCGAAGGAACCTGCCTCAATGGGTTTGATGTTCTCGATCATCTGCAGCACCTGCTCCAGTTCCGTGAAGTGCTCCAGCGTATTTGCGGGCAAATCCTCATCCTTGCACTCCTCTGCAGCATTCGACATGATGAATAAATAATTAAATTGATTTTCAAACCCACAGCCGGCAACTAAAACTATGTTTTTTGTTCGGTGACTGATTCATTTGATGTGCCGCCAAGGCTGCCAGACTAACCGAAAAGCACAGTGGCCGACCGAGTGAGAATTTTGCCACATTTTCAAAATGTAATTCAGATATTTGCAAAATCGTATATTTTGTTTAATATTTATTAACTACTTTGCTATAACTTTTTAAAAAATAATCATTTTAAAATGTAATAATTTAAAATGTCATGTTCTTTCCCACAGTGCATTGGTGTGACCGTTGTACGCGAAGATACAGTTGTTGACAGAGCGATAACAGCTGTTCGGCCAGAACTGGCAACTTATTTGTGGCAAAAGTGAAGCGGTCAGCGAAACAATATTTATCCCTAGTTTTTCTTTATTTTCTTTAAAAATCGCCCTAACCGCGTATATAACTTACGGTGTTCGTTTTGGAATAAACTCAGGCAGCCAGTCTGCTCGCAGTATAAACTTGTTTTGCTGCATGCGCGGAGATAGAGAAAAGAAAGAAGCCGTGTCCCAAAGTGTATTTGTTTACACGCCACGATTTCCTGAGTCGAGCCTCGCAACCAGCCATTATGAGATCGGATAACTTTCGATTGATTGCAGAGGTTGCCAAGCGGCGACCGCTCTGGGACACCAACATGGCGATGGCCTGTCGCAAGGACGAGTTCCTAACGCAGTGGGCATGTGTGGCGCACCATATGCAGTTGGACAGTGAGTTTGCTGGGTCGCCCAGGCTCCTCGCAGCTAGAGGCTATTAATAACTCCTATATTCTTTTAGTCATAACGTGCAAGAAACGGTTCAAAACCCTGCGGGACAGCTACCGCGCTGAGGTGCGCAAGATCCAGCAGAAACGCATCTCCATGTCCAACTGGCCGTACTTCCGGGCTCTGGAGTTTCTGCGTCACATCTTCGATCCACAGTGCCTGGTCCCGTTCCCGCCAGAGCCTTTTGACAACGGGGCCGAGCTGGCAGATAACTACGACCTCAGCGGGCTGGGAGACTTCAGTATCGATGTGGATGTTGATCTGGACAACGATGATTCCGTGGACTTTGAGGTCATTGGAGACATTTTTAAGCGTGAGCCCTCAGAGCGTCAGGATTCGGGCTCTGATCTGGGTTCGGTAACCCGGCAGCAGCAAGCGGACAGCTCGACTGCCAATAAACTGCCTAACTCGGACCCGGAGCTATCGCCCAGACTGCTCTCGCCGCTACACCTACCCCCCAATCACGCGTCGCTGCCCCGCCCGCCGCCGCCATCGAAGAGATGCCGCCGCCGAAAGACCTCGTCCTCATGCGACGGACCTATTTCGAGTGGTTACAGCAGCAGCCATCAGGATATGTCCAAAGCCGCTGCTGTCGCTGATGCCGCCATGAAGGACGATTCAGACTACAGTTTTCTGGTCAGTCTTATGCCACACTTGAAGTCGCTATCCACTATGAACAATCTCAAATTCCGTGTCGAGGTGAACCGCCTATTAATGGAACTCAATAGGGAGGAGTTGCAGCGGCAGCCACAGGAGCGAGGACTGGGCGGACCCAACGGACTGCCCAAGCTGACGCCCGCGCCGGATTCCAGCTTTGCCACACAGCAGGACCAACAGCATCTTTCCAATTCCAGCTACCACTATGGTAATGAGAATCATAATGGTAGCGTCCCATCCCCATCGTCATCTGGCTATGTTGATATCTCAATGATCGAATGCGATGTTAAGATAGAGAACGAACCCCTGCTTTGATTTAAAGCACATTTTTTATTCTGCTGCATCCAAAACTTAATTATAAAATATTACATTCGTATGAAATATTGTTAAAATTACCATTAGAACCTACATTCTTTCGATTTTGTAGCCCTACGGAAAGACGTTTTTTGCCAAACAAAGACTTTAAATTTATATGATTTGCTAAAATAACGGGAAAAGTGAATGTTTCTTTATGTCTTATGTATCCCAACAAATCCAATTTCTTATTATTTGATTCTATTATGTATACAATAAATAAAACAAGCTAACGAGTTGAATTTTTTAATGCTACATGCGTAACATATTTTATTTTATATATTTTTGATCACAAACAATATTATTTTTCATCTAGTTCATTTAACTTAAATTTCCGCGCTTGATTGAAATGAACTTGCGAAATTTTACGTTTTTTCACACTGGTTATTCCCTTCCGTATAGATCTAGTATTTTTTCGTAGCCGCTTTCGCACTTTGTTTGGGTCAACTGTACGGCCACACTGCTCGACTGCTTGTAAAGTGAAAAATATATATTTCCACAAGTTCAACAAATTGAACGATTTTGAAGCGGAAACAGCTCCAATAAACCGAGCCCGCGTTTTCCATTTGATCGGCGAGCAGTCACATACCTTATGCGGCGCCTGAAGAAACTGAAGAGCGTGACGGGGACGCAGGATGGCGGCGATGCAGCGGAGAGCCGGGCAACGACAGCCGCATCCGCTGAAACGGATGCCAACGGCGGCGGCGGCGGCGGCAACGGCGACGCCATTAGCGGGTCCGGCGTGGCCGGTTCCCTGAACACGGATATATTTAAGCACTTTGACAAGGCCGGACGGAGAGAATTGTACGTGGTTACCACGGCTCAGACACCGATACAACTGCAGCTACAGATATACACACACGCACACACACTCGCGCATCACTCAGCACAGTGGCTGCCGTCAGTTAGTGTCCTGCGGAATATTCGCGCGCTCTTGTGTCGCCTGTTTGGGCTTCTGCTGCACACGGATAGCACTCAGCTAAACTAAACGTTTCCTTTTAGCCTGAAGTACCTCAAAGAGCAGCTGCAGGATTCGACGGACGGGGTCGTCTACGATCGGAATGGTGTCTTCAAGCAGGGGGTGTCCAATGCCATCTACGAGCTGCTCTGGCAGGCGCTGCGCTTTACCCACAAAAAGGATCTGGTGATCCACCTACTGGGGGAAATTGTGGTGAGTATATGGGCACATGGCTTATCGCTAAGATGGCTATAAGCTCCGTATTTATATATATTTTGTTTTTCTTTCAGCCACTCAACGAAGGTCTGCCTAGCCTCATAGTGGATGTGATCAACATTTTGGATAGCGAAACTTCGCTTATGACTGAGGGATTGCATGAGGAGCGTCATGCATTTGTCCAGCTAGTCAAAGACATGGACAAGGTGGTTCCCGAAAGTCTTTTGAAGGAGCGCTTGGAAATCGACACGCTGCAGGATGTGGGCATTGTGAAAAACAAGAGCTTCTACTCCAAGTTCATCAAGGTCAAAACCAAGCTATAGTACGTATTTCACAAAATATATATTTTCTTTAATTTGTTTAAACTCAATTATTTCCTTTAGCTATAAGCAGCGTCGCTTTAACCTGTTCCGGGAGGAAAGCGAGGGATTTGCCAAGCTTATCACTGAGCTAAATCAGGATTTTGAAGATAACACTACGCCAGAGAGCATTATGGACATAATCAAGTCTCTGATTGGTAAGGAAAATTTGGCAACACTGTAACTAAAATTATGCAAAACTGGAAGAGAATCGTTTTTAACGTGTTGAGAATCGATTTTTTTCCCCAGCTATACGCTAAGTACCAAAATAATGCCGAGCTGGGGACAACTTTATTTCAAAATCAATCTTATCTATTCTTCTCATTACGGTTTCTCATCGATTCATTGGATTGTAAACATTTTATTAATTATATAAATATGAATTTATAACATTTTGTTAAAAAATCGAAAAAAATCGATTTAGAATCGAATTTTTCCCATCTCTAAAATAAATTTAATTTGACAGAAGTGATTGCCAATTGAAAATTCGCATAAAATAGTGCAAGTCATCCCAGCTCATGCCCTCTAAAGGATTTCGCCAAAAAGTTATTTTATAACGTTTAGCCAGTTCTAGTGTGATTTAACTTCAAACTAAACTTTCTTCCTTAGGCTGCTTTAATCTGGATCCCAATCGCGTGCTGGACATCATTATCGAGTCTTTTGAGACTCGACCGGACCGCTGGCAGCTGTTCATTCCGCTGCTAAGCAGCTATATGCCAACTGGTGCCATTATCTGCGAAGTCCTTGGCTACAAGTTTTGTCACTTCAAAGACTCGCGCACACCTCGCACCTTATACCATGTCTGTGCTCTTTTGCTCAAGCACGGTGTCATCCAGCTGGATGATGTCTATGTCTGGCTGACCCCCAATGACGGAAGCATCAAGGCGGACTGGGAACAGGATTTGGCGGATGCCAGGGAAATGGTGCGCAAGCTCAATTTAATTTCCACCAACAAGAAAGACGAGGACAAGGATCCGCCACCGCCGCCCTCTGTGAAGAAATTCGATGAGGTAACTAACAGCTTCAAAGCTTATAACAAACCATCTTATATAATTCCCATATTTGCCAGGAAAAATACAGTGCTAATCAAAAGTTTGGCCTCTGCGAGGCTCTACTCAAAGTTGGAGACTGGGAGAATGCATACCGAATCATCCAGAAACTGCCAGAACAAGCTGTTGTCTACCAGGAGCCCATCGCCCGTAGCATTATCGACCTAATTCACTTCACCGTGGAACAGTTGTACTACAAGAAATGCTTTAAGGCGCCCATGGGTCGAAAGCAGAGTCGGAGTCGCTTGTACGATGATGCCAAGCTGGTGGCCAAGATGCAGGCCAAGGACTTTGGTGAGTTGAGGAAGTACATCTGGCCGATGTGCAATGTCCTGGGACCGGGCATGCATCTGGATACTGTGCTGATGTACAAGGTGGTCCGCATCATGAACAAACTGGTGGTAGACATGGGTGTGGATAGCATGAATGGACCGCCGCCGAACTCGGAGGCAGAGCAGCACTACTATGACATCATGACCTGCATGGATGCTTGTATCCTGCCATCGCTGCTCTACCTGGACAACAACTGTTCCATGTCTGAGCTGATCTGGGGTGTGCTCAAGTATTTCCCCTACCATTATCGGTATAGCTTGTATGCGCGTTGGAAAAATGACAGTTATCAGCTGCATCCCAATCTAATCCGACGGTGTGGCCTGGCCCAGCGGGATATCAAGGCGCTGATGAAGCGCGTGAGCAAGGAGAATGTCAAGCAGCTGGGTCGTCAGGTCGGCAAGTACAGCCACTGTGCTCCCGGTCTTCTCTTTGACTATGTAAGTTTCCCCGTTTGAATGTATCGGAAAGAAGTTCCCAGCTTTCAAATCGATTTATCTTTATATAGATTTTGTTGCCTTTACTTATATACAATTTTTTTCATCAAGATCCTCCTTCAAATCCAAATTTATGACAATCTCATTGGTCCTGTCTGCGACATGCTCAAGTATCTGACTGCCTTGTCCTTTGACTGCCTGGGTTACTGCATCATCGAGTCGTTGACGTTGACAGGTCGCCTTAGGTTTAAGGACGACGGCACCTCGTTGTCCTTGTGGCTCCAAAGCCTCGCTTCCTTTTGCGGCACCATTTTCAAGAAGTACAACATCGAGCTGAGTGGCCTGCTGCAGTACGTGGCCAATCAGCTGAAGTCGCAAAAGAGTCTGGATCTGCTGATTCTGCGAGAGATTGTCCACAAGATGGCCGGTGTGGAGTCCTGCGAGGAGATGACCAATGATCAGTTGCAGGCCATGTGTGGAGGAGAACAGCTCAGGGGTGAGGTAAGTATCTGCATTTATTGCTTCTATACCTAAAGGAAATTCTAATTATTGTTTTATTAGGCTGGCTATTTCAGTCAAGTTAGGAATACGAAAAAGTCTTCGAGTCGCCTTAAAGACGCCTTGGCCAACAATGATCTTGCTGTGGCCCTTTGCCTGTTGATGGCCCAGCAAAAGCACTGTGTCATATACCGAGAGACGGCAGCGCACAGTCACTTGAAGCTAGTGGGAAATCTGTACGATCAGTGTCAGGATACACTCGTTCAGTTTGGAACCTTCTTGGGGTCCACATATTCGGTGGACGAGTATGTGGAGCGGCTGCCCTCGATTATAACGATGTTGCGGGAGTACCACATCAACACAGACGTGGCGTTCTTTTTGGCCAGGCCAATGTTTACCCACCAGATTAATGTAAGTTTAAAGTTTTCCTTCCTTTACTTATATTCATATGATTGTCCTAAATTTAAATGTAAATTTTCATTTCCTTTTTTTTCCCATACAGCAAAAATACGATCAGTTGCGCCGGGCAGATCCCAATGCCAAAAAGCTGAACCCCACGCAGAAATTGCAAAAGTATCTGGAGGCCACGCAGCTGATTATGAACCCCATTGTTGAGTCTGTGCGTCCGCTGCATAGCCTCAAGGTGTGGGAGGACATAAGTCCGCAGTTTCTGGTCACCTTCTGGAGCCTGAGCATGTACGATCTGCATGTGCCGAACGATAGTTATCAGCGCGAGATTGGAAAGCTCAAGCAGCTGGCCCAGCAGGCCGCAGATGGCAAGGACTCTAATCAGTCGAAGAACAAGAAGGAGCAAGAGCGATATATAGCGCTGATGGAGAAGCTGAATGACGAACGCAAGAAGCAGCATGAGCATGTGGACAAGATCTTACAGCGATTGCAGGAGCAGAAGGATGGCTGGTTCCTGTTGAGATCGGCCAAGTCGGCCAAGAACGATACCATAACGCAGTTCCTCCAGCTTTGCCTCTTCCCGCGCTGCACGTTCACAGCCCTGGATGCGCTGTATTGCGCCAAGTTTGTCCACACCATACACAACCTCAAGACATCGAACTTTGCCACGCTGTTGTGCTACGATCGGGTGAGTTTTCCACTAGAATAATGTCAAAAACCTTGTTGCAATGTGTGTGTCTCTGCTCATCCTTTCAAGATCTTCTGTGACATTACGTACTCGGTAACGTCGTGCACGGAGGGCGAGGCCACGCGTTACGGTCGTTTCCTGTGCGCCATGCTGGAGACCGTGATGCGTTGGCATGCCGACCAGGCGGTGTTCAACAAGGAGTGCGCCAATTACCCCGGCTTTGTTACCAAGTTCCGGGTTAGCAATCAGTTCTCGGAGGCCAACGACCATGTGGGCTATGAGAACTACCGCCATGTGTGCCACAAGTGGCACTATAAGATCACCAAGGCCATTGTATTCTGCCTGGATTCAAAGGACTTTATGCAGATTCGCAACGCTTTGATCATTCTGATGCGCATCCTGCCCCACTATCCGGTCCTGGCCAAGCTGGCGCAGATCATTGAGCGCAAGGTGGACAAGGTACGCGAGGAGGAGAAGACGAAGCGTCCGGATCTGTATGTCATTGCGTCTAGCTATATTGGTCAGCTGAAGCTGAAGACACCACACATGTTCAAGGAGAGTGATTTCCATCAGATGGCCGAAAGGCCCGGCAACAACAGCAAGGAGTCGCCGCAAGGAGTCGGCGGTGACTCTGGCAGCACTACCATCAAAGTGCTGTCTTTGGAGAAGGATTCGATACCCACCGCTATACCTTCTCAGGCGGCGTCAGGTGGAGCGAAGTCAGCTGGCGGCTCCGCAGCGACAATCTACAGCAACGATCCAAAGCCTGGCAGCAGCAAGGAACAGGATACTAAGACAGGTGGGAGATGATCTTATCTCTAAGACTCTCAACTTAAATTGATATATATGAATTGTTTTGTTCAGCTCCACTCACACGCAACGATTCAAAGGGTCAGAAAAGCGAGGGTCCTACAGCAGCCTCCACAGCCTCCCTCTCCACCTCGATCTCCGCGTCAATCAACGATCGTGATAGCAAGCAACGCGATCTACCGGCGCCAAGGGAATCGCAATCTCGCCACAGGGATGAGCAACTGGAGCAGCAGACCAACAATGGCAGCAACGGCAGCAGCAGGCAGAGCGCCGAGAGCCGCGGTCGCGATGTGGATCGAGACAGGCAGCAGCAGCAGGAACAGGAGCAGCGTCATGGCAGTAGCCATCGCAGCTCCAGAGAGACAGTGCGGATTAAGGAACGAACAGAAGCAGAGCAGCATCAGCGGTCCCGTGAGCGCTCCCAGCGTTTGGAGAGTTGGAGGCGGCGGCGCAACAGAGGGCTCTAAAGCGTGAGAAATCATCACGCCGTGGTGGTGGTGGCGGCAATGAAGAGCGTCATCGGCATGGAGATGGCGTTGAGACGGTGGACCTCGTAGGGAGCACCGATCAACGTCACTACGAAGAGTACGAGGGCCGGATGCGGGATCGCGATCTAAGCTCCGTATCCAATGAGAGCAATGGGTCGTTACAGCACCGACAGCGTAGCCATGAGACCATTGAATACGAAAAAGGTAGTGGCTTTTGTTGCTTACTAACTTTTCCATTCTTCATTTAATGTTTTTCTTATCTTCAGTAGATTCAAAACGTCGCAAATTGGAGTCGTCGTCGAGCAGTTCAAAGGTTAGTAGCATATGGTTGCAGTCATAAGAATACGCTAAGAGACAACAGTAAAAAACAACAACAAGCGTTACCGTGAGGATGACCAAATCCGGAGAGCAACCCCAACACCAAACTTCAGACAGACTGCTACTCCAAAAACAAAATCAACAAAAATCAACAACAATAATCCATTAGAATGTGAAAACAATACCAAGTGCTGCCTGCGATGATGGACCTGAACTCGTTCTCATCTACAATCTTATTTCTAAGTATCAAATGCTGTTTATAAAGTACTCCGGGGGCTCCATTAGTCGTAAGCAGAAAGTTATTAGAGGATAGTCGATTGAAAGAGAACTATATTTTGTTATGTGTACTTAAGTTTGTTAATTAGTTGTAGAATAGTTTAAGAACGCGAGTGTATATTGGGACCAAAGGAGGAGGCCACGCCAATCCAGTGATGAAAGACGACAAATCTTACGTGAGACGACGAAATCTTCTAATGATAGCCGGACGAGGAAGGCAAGACGACAAATCTGGCTTTAGACGACATAATCTAATGATAGCCGGAGAAGGAAGGACAGGAAAATGGACAACTTTTGAAAATCTACGAAGATCATTTGTGAAAAACGGAATCTACGAAAAGGAAAGCAAAAATCAAACCAAAATCACCGAATCTGAAAAGTCAACTGCCAACGCACTTAATATACATAAATGGTGTACATAATGATGGATAATCAACAACAAAAAATCAACGAATTAGTATAATCGACCGAAGGAACCTGAAAGTATATTTTGGACAAGCAATTATAAAAATGCTGAGCATAAAACTAAAGCTGGAACTATCTATTATAAGCTTTGCCCTGATGATGTTCGTGTCAAAACTTAACGCAGTATTTGCCAACGGAAATCTTGACTTCAGTTTGAAACATAAAATGGACTTGGATGGACTTGAATCGATGGTTCTTCAACCCCAAACTTCAGCACTTAAATACTTTAAATATTTTGCAAAGATTATGTGGACGCAGTGAAAACTACAACTGCAATTAAAGCAACAGCAGTTCGTAAATATAACCAACATATCTGCACTGACACACCAAAGCGACTCTTCGAAGGAGAGAAATATATCTGGAGCTGGAAGATGCAAAACACGATCTGGGCGGACCATATCTCTGCCTGTTCGGGTGCACATTCCGCGATATGAACGTCCATGTGAAGGAAGCAAAATCAAAACTTCAACATCCTTGAAGTATAATCATCCCTGTCATTAACGAATCAACTCTCGAACCTGGAAAGTCGACTCTGAACAAGAAATACGGAAGGATCTCGACCCCTGCCTTGTATCCTGTGGAAGCCAAGCTTTGTGGGAATCTGTATAAATCCGTGTGGATGCTGTGTCCCCGACTCTGATTACCTGTGCAGCGCAGTTTAGCTCTTAATTCGTACGATCTTGAGACTGTGCACGGGGTAAGTGATGGGCGCGTGGCAAGGGCAGCGGATTAAACATAAGCAGAGTAAAAGAAAAACTAAAGCAAAGTAGGAGAACCCCAAAAACAGAATTAGGTGAAGTTAGAAACAGAATTATAGTTCTTCAAGTATATTCACACTTTGTGAATTTTATTTAGGAGACTTCAAGAGAGACAGAATATTTATTTATATTTACAACCATTAATCCTGTGCCATTGCAGAAGGTGGAGGAACTGGTGGACAGCGTGAAGAAGGCGCGCGGCATCAAGACCAAAGAGCGCAACAAGGACAAGCTGTCGGAGGAGGAGCGCGACGCCCGCAAGGACCGCAAAATGGGACGCAAACGCGATCGCGCCGAGGAGTCAAATAGCAGCGAACACAAGCGTCGCCGCGAAGGTGAGAGAAGAATTATTTGCCGAATATTCAAGACATTCAAGAATGAACGATTTTAGCACAAAATGGAGAGGACGAGCAGTTGCGGGAGAGAGAGCAGCGACACAGGGTGAGTTTTAATGCTTTCAATAATTGCTTAAAAGTTATGCTTTTAGTAAATAATAATAATAATAATACCTCTCAAAATGTCAACTAAATAAATAATATATTTTTGATTCATAGGAAAAATCCCCCGGGAGCGTTCACATGAAAAATTTGACAGAGAAAGAGGTGCAGGAGGAGGAGGAGGAGGTGCTGGCGGCAGCAGTTCCCGTGGCGAGGATCGGCAATACAGCATCAGCAAGTCCACGCGCTCATCCAGAGTCAACTATTGAAATGAAATTAGGAATAATCGCTTCCCCAATTACATGTGCATATTGTGGAGCACAGCATTTTGTTTACTTTTTAAATGATTTTGAATTGTTCACCAGGATCAACTCGATGGTTGCCTCAGAAAGAAGAATATAATTTTGAATGTTTACAATTTTTTAAGTGACTAATTTTAAATGAGACAAATCCAAACAATTACACCAATGTAAAAACTAAAACAACCTGTTTCTAATTACTCAATGGGTGTCCATTTTTGTCATTTTAATTTCCCACAATTTTGGGTTTCTCGCATTAGAATTTTCATTTAGTTTTTAATGAACAATAAAATCATGTATTATATAAGCGTTTACAATATGAATTTAAATTATATAATTTTTAAGACCACCAAAAACACATACAAAAGACAAGTAACTTTATATCGAATCAAATTTTATTCAATTTAAATTAATTTGTTACATTTAACAGTTGAACTTGAGGTTTAATCTCGATTTAAAACACGCATATCCAATATCTATTAACAAGCTTTGCCACTAACGTTTATTTTATAACTCTCTCTATTCATTTTTATTTGTTTTTGGTTTTTTTTTCGTGTTTACTTTGAAAGTGTTCCTGAGGTCTTTTTTAGGTAGGTACCGTCTTGGCTTGCAGCTGCTTCGTTTCCACAGTGATGAGATAACTATTTGGTTGAATTGTTTATCTTTGATTTTTATTAAATAAAATATTAACAATTCCGATTAATTGGTTAGTTTTAGTTTTTGTTGCTTTTGGCGCCTAAAATGGGACTTTGACTTTAACAAAAAGCCAAATCACATAAATAATAAAATAATATCCGAAAATGTGTGTTAATTGATTTAGTTCTGTGGCTGATCCTCCGGCGCCGGCAGCTTTCCCAGGTGGGCTCCACACCCCAGATCTCGCGGGCATACTCGGCGATGGTGCGATCCGACGAGAACTTGCCGCTGGACGCAATATTGTTGATGGACATCTCCAGCCACTTGGCTTGGTTCTGCAGGTAATCAAGTGAAAGTAATGGTTTAGCAAAATTCACAAAAAAAACATTAATATTTCGCAGGAAACAAGGACTCACCTGGTAGGTCTTGGACACCAGATCCTGGGCCTTGATGTACGCCTCGTAGTCGGCCAGCAAGTAGTAGTGGTCGTACTTGAGCAGAATATCGGCAATGTTCTTGAACTCGTTGGGATTGCCGGGGCTGAAGAAGCCACCCTGGATCTGGTCGATCACCTGCTTGACCTCCGGATTGGTGCTGTAGTAGTCGTTGGCGTTGTAGCCCTTCTTCTTGAGCGCCTCCACCTCATCGACGGTCATGCCGAAGATGAAGATGTTGTCCAGACCCATCTCCTCGGCCATCTCCACATTGGCACCATCCAAAGTACCGATGGTGAGGGCACCGTTCAGCTGGAACTTCATGTTGCCGGTACCGGAGGCCTCTGTGCCGGCGGTAGAGATTTGCTCGGAGAGATCAGCGGCGGGCATGATCTTCTCGGCGAGGGTAACGCGGTAGTTCTCCAGGAAGATGACCTTCAGCTTGTCACCAACAATGGGATCATTGTTGACCACATTGCCCACGGCGCAGATGAGCTTGATGATCTGCTTGGCCACATAGTAGCCGGGAGCAGCCTTGCCGCCGATCATGATTGTCCTGGGCGTGAAGTTGGCTGTGGGATCCTTCTTGATCCTGTTGTACAGGGTGATGATGTGCAGGCAGTTGAGCAGCTGGCGCTTGTACTCGTGGATGCGCTTCACCTGGATGTCGAACATGGAGGATGGGTTCACCTTGACGCCGTAGTCCTTCTCCAGGATGGCGGCCAACTTCAGCTTGTTCTCCTGCTTGACGCGGGCCACGTTGCGCTGGAAGTTCGGGTCCTTGGCCCACTTCTTCAGGGCAACCAACTGATCTAGATGGACTGGCCACTCATCGCCGATCTTCTCGGCAATCAGATCGGAGAGTCCGGGATTGCAGAGCAGCAACCAACGACGAGGGGTGATGCCGTTGGTCTTGTTCTGGAACTTCTTGGGATCCATTTCGTAGAAGTCGTGGAAGAGCGAGTCCTTCAGGATCTGCGAGTGGATGGCAGCCACGCCGTTGACGGCATGGGAGCCCACAATCGACAGATGGGCCATGTTGATGCGCTTCTCGCCATCCTCCTCCACCAGGGACATGCGACGCATACGGTCCAGATCCTCGGGGAACTTCTTCTTCACATTCTCCATGTGCAGGAAGTTAATGTGGTAGATGATCTGCAGGTGACGAGGCAGAATCGACTCCAGCATGGACACGGGCCAGCGCTCCAGGGCCTCTGGCAGCACGGTGTGGTTGGTGTAGGCACAGCTCCTGGTTGTGATGTCCCAGGCCTTCTCCCAGTCCAGGTGCTCCTCGTCGACGAGGATGCGCATCAGCTCAGGGATGGCCAGCGATGGATGGGTATCGTTCAGCTGGATGGCCACCTTGTCTGGGAAGTGATCGAAGGAGTTGCGGACTGCCTCCCGAGATCCGAACTTCGAGGCCTTGTAGCGACGGATGATGTCCTGCAGGGTGGCAGCGCACATGAAGTACTCCTGCTTCAGACGCAACTCCTTGCCTTCGAAGAAGTTGTCGTTGGGGTACAGCACACGGGAGATGTTCTCCGCGAGATTACGATCCAGCACGGCCTGTATATAGTCACCATCGTTGACTGAAGGATTGGAGAGGGATATAAAGGTTAGTCCGAGGAATAACTTTAAAAATTTCACAAATACTTACAGAACTTCAGGTTGAAGTCAATGGGCGACTTGGCGGACCACAGACGCAGCGTGTTCACATGGTTGTTGCCGTATCCGGGAATGGGATTGTCATAGGGCATGGCGAACACTTTCTGGGTATCCACCCACTTCTTGCCCTCGGGTGTGTCAATCACGCGACCGTAAAAGTTAATCGGCAGCATGAACTCTGGACGTGCCTTCTCCCAGGGATTGCCATAACGCAGCCAGTCATCGGGCTCCTCCACCTGCTCACCGTTCTTGATCTTCTGGGCGAAGATGCCGTACTCATAGCGGATGCCATAGCCATAGGCAGCCAGGCCAAGGGTGGCCATGGAGTCCAGGAAACAGGCAGCCAGACGACCCAGACCACCGTTACCCAAACCGGCATCCTCCTCCATTTCCTCCAGATTCTCAATGTCCAGACCCAGCTGGTACATGGCCTCCTCGCACTCACTTTGGATTCCCAAGTTGATCATGGTGTTGGTCAGGGAGCGACCCATGTAGTACTCAAGCGACAGATAGTAGACGCGCTAAAAGATATAGGATGAAGGAAAATTTTTAGTTAGTTGGATTACTGGAGGAACTGAGGGAAGAACGAAGTGAAGGTGAGGGATATTTTGTGTGAGAACTTAGGAAACTTAATTACAAATTATAATCATAAAATGCAAACAGAAAGGGAAGTATAAAAAATCCAGAAGATATTGGAAAACCAGAAAGAAAGCAAATTTTGGAAGCCGAAGATTAGATCAGGAGATATCATATTTCAAATCGATCATAACTAAGTCAAAAATACATCATTTTCAATTCGGAAAGCTTTGCTATGCTAGTTTTTATTAGGTTAAAAAATCTGCATACTCAGTTTAACATATCAAAAAATTTAAATTTTTATCAATTTTTCAAAATTTTAACGATGTAACCCCTTGTAATATTTATAAACTTTGAAAAAATTTGTTTTCAACCAGACATGGCTAGATCGATTCAGTTTTTGATGCTGATTAATAATATATATGTTTTATAGGGTCGAAATAATTACTTCACTGTCAGGCACTCTTTTAAGTAAAATTATTATACCCTTTTTGAAGGCTATGTAAATAAAGGAAAATACATAATAATAAATAGGAGTGCTACAAATAGCTCTTCAAATATTTATAGATGTAACAATACATGATTAAGAAGTGAATATAAATATATTTAAATTAAATATTTCATTTTTAAAGACTCGAGCTGAAATTCATTAAGCTTTAAGTTACTGCCTCTGATCTGTTATTTATTTAAGTAATGTTTTAAGTATTTTAATAAGATCTCCGAAAACAAATCAACGTAAACTTCAACCGCAAGATCCAAATATATCACCCATTCAAGAGCATAATCAAAGTGCTCAAAGAGCATTAATCGCTCAACGTAAGAGAGCGGGGATCATAAAGCTCACTTCAAAACCAGTTTGGTCTTGAAATTCTCGTAATGATCAGTCAAGTGCAAGGCTCGACTGTACAGTGCACACAGTGCACGATCACCGCTCACCCAGGTAGGCCCGATAAGGAGGCGCTTAGCCCAGTTATGCTTGGCCAGAAGGTCACCCAGTGCCCCCGTCTTATCAAGCCCAGGGAATCGTTAGCTAATTTCAGGGCAATTCAACTGGGGAACTATAAATAGAGGAAGGCATTCATAATCACCGATCCGACCGATCGATGTTACGAGGGCATTTATTGTTGCTTATGGCTATAGCCTGGCAACAACCGATTGCAGGCTGCACTTTGCATGCTGGGCAAACATCATGGCAGAGCATGGATCTGGCTCCGGAATCCGGATCACACTATCTCCCTCCCAATGCTGGGCTGATCGTTAATCGTTGATCACGGATCACCAATCACCAATCACCGATCACCGATCATCTATTGACGACAACATCGCTGACAGTGTCGCCGGTTGAAAGCTAATGGCTTCAAGGTATGCTTAATCCTTATCAACATCCCATGTAATCAGCATACCTTCGGCGCATGCTGATTTCAGATGTCTGATGCCATATGATCCGGTGGAAAAAACTCTACCTAATTAGTGCGGAATGTTTGCCGAGCGTGTCTCTGTGTGCATATTTGTAGGTGAAAGGGTTAAGGCGCCACTATAGCGGCATTATTTTCGATTATTTTTGCAAACTATTAGCAGATAAGATATGCTTAGATTAGGTAATGGGGGTAATCATTACTCTTAATTTAGATGGAAATAGATGTGTGGGTTTTTTTGATTGTACTGCAAATAACAAGGATATTTTTAAAAGAATTGTTGATCCTTAACATACTTCAACAAACATT